TTGGGGGGGTTTGGGGGGTACCTGGGCACACCTGGGGGGTAAAAACACACCTGGGCACAGCTGGGCACACCTGGGATACACCTGGGCACACCTGGGCACACCTGGGCACATTTTAGGCACACCTGGGGGATACTTGGGCACACCTTGGGGTACCTGGGCACATTTGGACACACCTGGGCACACCTGGGGGTACCTGGGTAATATTTGGGGCACACCTGGGGGTACCTGGGCACACCTGGGGGGGGGTAAAAACACACCTGGGCACACCTGGCACTGACCTGGGCACATTCTGGGCACACCTGGGGGGGGGTAAAAACACACCTGGGCACACCTGGGAGCCACCTGGGCACATTTTGGGCACACCTGGGGGTACCTGGGCACATTTTAGGCACACCTGGGCACACCTGGGGGTACCTGGGCACACCTGGGCACAGCTGGGCACATTTTAGGCACACCTGGGGGTACCTGGGCACACCTGGGGGGTTCCTGGGCACATTTTGGGCACACCCGGGGGTACCTGGGCACACCTGGGCACACCTGGGCACACCTGGCAGCCGTGTCTCACCTGGCAGGGGCAGTGCCAGTGGCGGCAGCCGCCCGGGCGCGAGATCTACCGCAAGGGCAACATCTCGGTCTACGAGGTGGACGGCAAGGACCACAAGGTGAGTGCCCAGGTGTGCCCAGGTGTGCCCAGGTGAGGTTGGCACACCTGGGCACCCCGAATTCGAGGCGGTTTGGGGCATTTTTGGGGCATTTTTTGCGATTTTTNGTGATTTTTTTTTTTTTTTTGGTCATTTTTTTGGGATTTTTTTGGACACTTGGGCACCCAGGTGTGCCCAGGTGTGCCCAGGTGTGCCAGCCCCACCTGGGCACCCCAAATTTGGGGCACTTTGGGTGGTTTTGGGCATTTTTTGGGCATTTTTTGCCATTCTTTGCCATTTTTTAAATTCTTTTTGTGATTTTTGGATATTTTTTGGATATTTTTTGTGAATTTTTACAATTTTTGGCCACCTGGCCATGCCAGGTGTGCCAGGCGTCCCCAGGTGTGCCAGCCTCACCTGGGCACCCCGAATTTGGGGCACTTTGGGTGGTTTTGGGCATTTTTTGGGCATTTTTTGTGATTTTTTGCCATTTTTTTGATATTTTTTGTGATTTTTTGGGATTTTTGGCCACCTGGGCATGCCAGGTGTGCCAGGCGTGCCCAGGTGTGCTCAGGTGTGCCAACCTCACCTGGGCACCCAAACCCAGAGAATCCCCAAATTCCTGCCAAATTTTGGGGTGGTTTTGACCATTTTTGAGGCACTTTATGGGATTTTGGTCCATTTTAATGCGATTTTTTCGGGGTTTTCGGCCACCTGTGCCCACCACCCGTGCCCAGGTGTGCCCAGGTGTGCCCAGGTGCGCTCAGGTGTGCCAACCTCACCTGGCCACCCCAAATTTTGGGCTGTTTTGGGTGTTTTGGCCATTTTTGATCCATTTTAATGGGATTTTTTTCCATTTTAATGCGATTTTTTTGGGATTTTCGGCCACCTGTGCCCGCCGCCTGTGCCCAGGTGTGCCCAGGTGTGCCCAGGTGTGCTCAGGTGTGCCAACCTCACCTGGCCACCCCAAATTTTGGGCAGTTTTGACCATTTTTAAGGCATTTTCATGGGATTTTGGTCCATTTTAATGCGATTTTTTGGGGATTTTCGGCCACCTGTGCCCACCGCCCGTGCCCAGGTGTGCCCAGGTGTGCCAGCCTCACCTGGGCACCCAAACCCAGAGAATCCCCAAATTCCTGCCGAATTTTGGGGTGGTTTTGACCATTTTTAAGGCATTTTAATGGGATTTTGGTCCATTTTAATGCGATTTTTTCGGGATTTTCGGCCACCTGTGCCCGCCGCCCGTGCCCAGGTGTGCCCAGGTGTGCCCAGGTGTGCTCAGGTGTGCCCGCTCAGATCTATTGCCAGAACCTGTGCCTGCTGGCCAAGCTGTTCCTGGACCACAAGACGCTCTACTTCGACGTGGAGCCCTTCGTCTTCTACCTGCTCACCGAGGTCGACCGCCAGGGCGCCCACATCGTCGGCTACTTCTCCAAGGTGGGCACACCTGG